GCCATGGCTGGGCTCTCAGCAGGGTACCTCTGCATCTCCTAAAGTCCCCATGGGCCTCTGGGCGGGGCTTCCGGGCAAGAAATCCCCAGGGAGCCGCTGCAGGAACCTCAGCTGCACCTCCAGGTACGGGACTGGGGGCGGCGAGGGTGCATTTCCTAGGCAAGCCCTGAGGGGGAAGGGCGGCTGCGCAGCATCCCGGGTCCTGAGCTCCTCTCTGGCCGGACTCCTGGCTCTCAGCGGCCTTGGCGAAGGCTCTGGGCTGCCAACGCAGCCAGCACTGAGGCGGCACAGTCCTCAAACCACCAGATGCTGCAGCTCAGCCCTGCTGTCACGGGCCGGGGTCGGGGTAGGGGAGGCGTCATCTTGCCTGGTTAGTCCTGAGTGCTGAATTCCAAGACATGTGCAGCCCCAGGAGGCTGCTAAGAGGATTAAAAATCAAAAGCCAACCAAAACTCTTTTTTTTTTCTTTTATTTCAGCATATAAAACTCTTAAATGAGTAAAACTGGACGATGCAGTCAGAACCTGCTTGGGGTTGCACAGTAAGAGCTGATTATTCAAATGCCACATTGTAAACTGCCCAGGGCTCTGAACTCTGAGTTAATGGCACACTCGCAGGCCTGTCTGTCTGCAGCTTAGCTGAGAGGCTGTAAGGACACAGGGCACTGGCTATACACAAAGGGAAACCTCTTCCAAGTCAGACCCTCTGACACATATTTGTCTACGTCTTCACTGTCCCACTGATGGAGATTTATCCACTCTGTGTGACAGCTCTGCCTTAATGAGGAGACGGGACTATGCAAAAGCTCCCTGGAGAAAGGGTGAGCCTCTGTCACCGGAGGTGTGCAAGAAGAGCTGGGAGGGCTACAGGATGTTCACACACCACACGGGCGACCCACGCATTTCACGTCATCACCTACAGAGGCCAGGCGCTGGGCCAGGCCCTGCCCTGTGAGGCTCAGTCCGGGGAGCATGGAAATAACATAGACAAGTCAACAAACAACACAGGGGCTGGGAGGGGCCAGAGGACACCCCAGGGTGTGCTCAGGAGGCTGCCAAAGGGGCTCCCAGACATGGTGGCCAGGGAGGGCAGCTCAGAGGTGTGGGGCACCCAGCCCAGGGCAGGATGAGGAACCGACCATGTGAATGTGAGAGAAGGGAACCTCAGGCAGTGGGCACTGCATGTGCAAAGGCCCTGAGGCGGAAGGAGGCAGGCATGGCTTGGCACAGAGATGAGAAGATGTCATGAGACGGCATTGGAGAGGCGGGCAGAGGCCTCGAGGGCCAAGGTAAGTGTCGGGGCGCTGTTGGAGGGTGTCCTGCAGTCACAGGCAGGATGGATTGATCAAGGTCATCCTGGCTGCTGTGTGGAGAAGGGATGGAGTCGGTGAGGCCAGCGCTGCTGGGGCAAGGAAGAACCTGCGAACACTTCGTGGCCAAGCCAAGAGGACGCATGGTGACAGGAAGCAGCAATGCGGGGGAGCAGAGGCTCAGAGGGGACAAAGGCTTTCACCCAAGCACCCCGGGTGGTCCTCTGGGTTGGGCTGGGAGGGGTGGAGTTAGGGACCAAGACAAGTCACCGGGCAGCTGATACACGTCTCCAGGGCAGGAGACACGGGGCTGGAGATCTGCACCTCGGTAGTGTTTAAAGGCAGAGGAGACGTCCCTGCCCACCCAGGAGCCCCTCCTACATGTAGAAGGCAGGAGGAGAAGGGGGAGGGGAGGAAAAGGTATGGACCCCCATCCCAGGGAGAGGGAGACACAGCTGGCCCGAGAGGCCACGGTCCTCTGGCAGGACTTCCTTCTGGAAATGCCCAGAGTGGGCAGTACCTTACACGCCACCACGTGTGGACATCACTAGCGACTTCTGGCTGGGCCCTAGGGAAGGCGAGTGGTGGACACTGCCTGGGCACTCCGTGCAGGCTGAGGCTGGCGGAGCTGGCGCTGACTCCAGACCTCAGGGGCCCTGCTCCGCCCCTGCAGAGGAGAGCCAGGGGCCCAGGAGAGCACAGCTTTCAAAGCCCCCAGACCAGGCCAGGCCTGGCCTTCTGACCTCAGACCTGTCACCTCACCCTTCCTGGCCTCAGTCGGCACATCTGCGGTGCCCGAGAAGGGACCTGACTTGCAGAGGGAATTGAGATGGGCTGGCAAGAGGCCAGGCACCAGCGAGTCCCCCACACAGAGTGGATGTTGCACAAGCCCGGACCTGGGAGTCTGGGCTCCCTGCGCACCAGGCGACAGGGGCAGGGCTACACAGAGCCCACAACGCATGCGTCACCCCCGGACTTGGGCAGCAGCCCCAAGGAGCCCGTGTGAAGGCAGGCAGTGGGCTGATGTCAGATTCAAGGTCACAGTATCTGGGATCCCGTCCAGCCCTCCTTCCTGCACCTGTGGCCTCCCCTCCCTCTCAGGCTCCAGCTCCCCACTGTCTCCCTGGCCCTTTAGGCTCTGGTGGCAGCCAGGGCTCTCAGGATCCTGCGCACCCGCGTCTGCTCTGCCTGTGCCCTCCCAGTCCTCCCGGCTCTGCCCAGGGGGCTCCCACTCCTTTTCCACAGCCCAGCACCGAGCACCTCCTCCGGGAGCCTGCCCTGACCTTGCCCAGTAAGGCAGGGTTGGTAGCAGTCCCAACTGTGATAACAGCTTGTGAAATGAGGCAGAGCTGCTCCTGGTCACTGCCCAGGAGCTGGGCATGTGTCCACGTGCCTCAAACAGCATGCCCCTGGGTACTGCTGTCCCCCCATTTCATAGATGAGGAAACTGAGGGTAACTGAGTAGCCCACCTGACATCACCCCATTGGTAAGAGGTGCACTGGGGCTGCAGGTCTGGGGACACGGAGGCCCCAGCCGAGACCTCCATGCTCGTAGCCACGTCCTGTCTTTCTGAGCTACGGCTGCACCCGGCTGCACCGCATCACCTGTTTTCCTCTTCTCACTCGCCCCTGTGTCTCCCCGATGGTCTGTGGGTCTTGAGGGCACAGGCAGGGGCTGCTTCATCGCCGTGCCCTGTCGCCAGCCCAGGGCCGGCCAGGCACACAGAGAAGGTGCATTGTGGACTTCCTCTGTTGGTGAGTGTTTCGCCTCCAACCGTCCTGCCCGCCTCTGGGCCCTGGGGCTGGGGAGGCACCTCCTGCCCCCGGCACTGCCAAACTGCGGGGGACAGTCTTCTCGAACTCCTCAGCAAGGCCGAGACGGGCACACCAGGACCAAGCCCCAAACTGGACGGGCTACCACAAGGTGCGGCAGGCACTCATTAAGCTCTGACGCCCATTCCTGAGGCCTCGAGTGGCACCGTGCTCTCCAGCCCTCGGTCTCTGACCTCATCACCCTCGCTCCTGTTGTGGTTTGGAAGCGGCCCCTCCAAAATTCAGGTGTCGCCGATGTGATGGTGTTGAAAGATGGGCCCGTGATTAGGCCATGAGGGCTCCTCCCCTCGCAAATGGGATTATGGCCCTGATAGGACGGGCTTCACGCAGCCCCTGGCCTTCTCTGGGGCTTGTCCTTCTGCCACATGAGGCCTGCGGGCGCCTCAGTCTTGGACTTCCCAGACTCCGGAACCGTGAGAAATAAATTTCTGTGCTTTATAAGTTACCCAGTCTCAGGTAATCTGCCGTGGCAGCACGAGCGGACTGAGGCCCTCCCGTAAGCCCCTCGCTGGCTCGCCCACACGATCACACAGCATCTCATACGATGCCCCCGCAGCCGCGCAGTGCCAGGGGCAGGTCTTGCGTGTCCCGCCAGGAAAGAGGAGCTCTGCTGAAAATCTCAGGAAAGCCTGGGTTTTACCATTGGAGAAAACTGCAGGTTTCCTCAGCTCCTCTGACGGACCAAGCCTATGAATCTGCACTACGGGGACCGTGCTCTTTTTTCCACCCCTTTGGACCACAGGACCCGAACCGTGGGAAGCTTTGCCCTACAGTGTCAAGTCTGAGCCCACAGGCACGACGCTTGTGGCCACTTATTGTCCGGTCCCTGCTGACCTGCCCAGCCTCGGGTGTCACTCCTGCCCCCACCCCCACCCAATCCCACACCAGCTGCTCAGAGCGACCCGCTCTTCTCAACACAGCAAAGCCCATATGCATTTGCCCATGCTGTTCCCTCTTCCCAGAATGCCTTTCCCTAATGCTGCTGGAAAACTTGTCCTCCCCGTTCAAGATGCAGCCTGGATGTCCCTCTGGAGGCGTCCCAGGCACCCCAGGCTCCCCGTGGTGCTCCTAGGGCTCTGCGGAGCCTGTCTTGGAGGCTACTGGTGTCCGCCCCACTGTCTGTGCACGGGGTATGAGGGGTCTGACTCGTATCCATGAACCTGGCACCCCGCACTGGGCCTAAGGCAGCACCTGTCAGGCTGACAGCAGATCCTGCCTTCCTGAGAGGGGCCCCAAACAAGGAAAGGAACAGCAAGGTTTTCTGGCATTTCCCTCCATGCACAGAGTCAGCCTGCATGGAAAGATGCAACCCAGAACCAGCTGCAGGTCAGGGAGGCTGTCCTCGCATCTGAAGGGACTGAGGCATTTTCCACCCCCAGCAGACTCTCCTTGTGGTGCCCTAAGCAGTCCAGGGACCCACACAGTCACTCTTCCCAAATAGTCCCCTGCAGACGTGCATTTTAACCACAGAAAGAAAATACTGGTGTCGCCCAAGAGAGCATACCAACTGGAGACTGAAGGCCAGGAAAGATTGCTTCTCGCCCAATACCCTGACAGAGCGGGGACACGAGGACCGGGAAACGGCTGCAACAGACACAGAAGCTGGAGAAATACAGAAGAGGCCCTTCGGGGTGGTCAGGAGACCACTGGATTTCGCTTTTGACTCTAATTCTATGACCTTGGGGACAGCAGTTCACTTTTCTGAGCCTCAGTTTCTCCACCTGGAAGACCAAGAGCTGCTTAGAGATATGTAAAGGGCTGTGCAGTTGTGCCCAGGGAGTGCGGATCTCAGCTTGGCCCTAACTCAGACCCTCGGTTTCCCCGGGAGAAGGCTTCCGTCCTCCCCGCTGAGCGCTTACCCGATGGGCAGGCGCCCTTCTGCAGCTGGCGCACAGGCGTCCCGGAGAGCTGTAGCGCGCGGCGGCTGGCCGCCTGCAGCGCGCACACGTTGGCATAGGTGTGCCCGTCTGTGCCGCACACGGCGTGAGCCCCGCGACAGCGGCACACTCCGCGCGCGCACTCCAGGCTCTCCCCGCAGGGCGAGTCGAGGGGGCGGCCGCAGGGCTCGCCCTCGCTGGCGGCGCACACCAGGCAGCAGTTGCAGAGGTCGGGCACATAGCCGCCGGGGCACCGGGGACTCGGACACCGCGACACGTCGCAGCGCGCGGGGCACGGCGCCGCCGCGGGCTCCCGGGCCAGCGCGAGGGCGGCCAGCGCGGCCAGGAGCAGCGCCCGCGCCTGCATGGCGGCCGGCCGGCAGCGGGAGGCAGCAAGGGAACTGGCCTGGAGCCGGCGGGGACACCAAGGCCGCGCGGGGGCCGGGAGCCTAAGGAGGTGGCTCAGGAGCGAGGGCGTCGGGACCACAGGGTCATGCCTGGGGGACAGGGGACCCGGGCACGGGGAAGGCACAGGCGCCTGCTCCCTCCTCTGGACGTATGGTCTGCTGGCGCCAGGCCCAGCGCATTTAAAAGGGACTGGTGACCCGCCCTGCTGGAAGAAAGCGGAGTCCCCTCCTCCTGCCCCGCCCCGGCCCCAACAGGCCCCCGCCCCACTGGCCTCAGGGCTGTCCTGCCTGGTCTGGGAAGCAGCTGGCACAGATGGTGTCCCCCGCCCAGACCGTGGGGGGGCATGCCTTAGGACCCCCAGTCCCAGCACCCGGAACCACTGTCCTAGAACTGACCAAGGTCAGACTCTACCCCAGCTCCCTCCTGCTCCACCACTCCATCTGCCCACACCTCCTCAGCTTGGCAGCCCTGGGCACCAGCACGGTCATATGGGTAGCTCAGCTCTCCCCTCCTGGCTCCCCACCCAGCCAGGACATGGTCCCTGTGCCCTGAATCTGCCCCCCACCCCCACCCAGCGTCTAGCTCTCAGAGGACATGCTCTCCTCAGCTCTCGGAAGGGCCTGCTGGGTTCCAGTCTCCCCTTTCCTAGCTCACACCTGTTTCCTCCTCCACCCTAGGGCAGTTAATAGTGCTTTCTGACTTCATAGCGTTGTTGGACCAACCGCCTGGAGTTCGTGGCTGGGGAATGATTCTGAGCCTTTCGTGCTTGGGCACAGCCTCCTGTGGGAACAGGAGATGTTTCCATTCTCACTAGTCCTCACAGTCTCTGAAGGACCCCCACAGACCGTGGGCCTGCCACCAGGGCTCGGAGTCTGGTGACAGTGACATCAAGTGATGAGTCAGAGGAGAGAGCAGACCCTCCAGAACAGCACAGGATCACACAGGGACGAGTGTCCCAGAGCACAGCCATGGGAACGTGTGAAGCAGCGCGTGCTGACGTGCTAATCCACGGGCTGCTTTGCTAGATGTTAAACAGCAAGATCCCGCCTGCTGTCCGACACCCGGCAGAGGTTTCCCAGCACCTGCAGCGAGTGCAGAGAGCCTGAGCAGCCGTTTGTGTTCCCTGGGGGACAGAGCCACAGGCCCTGCTGTGGCTGGGCTGCCTGTACCACTGAAGGAGTAAGTGCTGGACTCCAGCTGGAGTTGGTGGTGAGAACAAAGATGTTTTTTCATCCAAGTTCACAGACACCCAGGCTAGGAACTGGGGGGCCCCCGGGCCCAGAGGAGGGGGGCAGCTGGGGTAGAGGGTAGGGAGGGGAAGCAGGTCTGATCCCCAGGGCCGTGGTGTCCAGAGGGCCTGGGCACTGCTGAAGGGTCAGGCCGGGGAGTGGCCCTGTCAGACAGGTGTGTCCGGGGAGGTCAGAGGAGGCAGGAGGTAGGGACCTCAGGTGTGAGCACCCATGGGGCCCAGAGAGCACGTGGGGTTGAAGTGCCATGGGGGGTGGGAGATGGGGAGGGAAGGGGGCTGGGGCAGCCCCTGCTAAAAGGCCCTTTGACAAAGGGCTATAGGACCTGCATTTTGCCTTTAAAAACTTAAAGTTCATTTTGCTTTGAAGACGCGGAGAATGTCAGGCCATTTCTCTAAACGACTCAGAATGCCAGGGGTTGGGGACCTCAGGGCTGGTCTGGACTGGGCCCCCCTCAGCCCTAACCAGGGCTCCTGGTTCACATCTCCGCTGGGTGGGCTCAGGCCTGAGGGGCAGGGGAGCTGTTTACATGTCCAGGACACCTGCCCCGGAGTGTGCCTGGGTGGGGAGCCATGACCCAAAGCGGGCTTCCTGAGGGGCCTGTGTCATCCTGCAGACACCCAGCCCTGAAAGCCAACACTTTTTCATGTCTGGATTCTCCAGTGCACAGAAAATCAGAGATCCAGGAAGGACCAGAGCGTTCATTTCTAAACCCTTCATGTACAGATAGGGAAACTGAGTCTCGGAGAGGGTCGAGGACTGGTAGCTGCTGCAGACCAGTTTGCACAGCCCACTACAGTCGACGTGACAATACCTGCTGATTCTGGGGCTGAGAGGCTGCTCAGGTGCCCTGCACACTTTACTTGACTCCACATTCACTACGGCTTGAGATAGGGTGTTGTCACTGGTAGAATGAGGCTGGGCGAGTAGAAGGTCAGAGTGCACAGCAGGTTGGCCTCAGATCCGGATCCACCTGCAGATCCTGTGTGTGTTCCTCCCTCAAGACCATGCTACCCCCAACAGCCACCTGATTTGATCTGTACAACCCCTTTGCAAAGGCGATTTAGTCTCCTGTACACAAGGGAAACTGAGGCCCAGAGTGAAAGGGTATGTATGCAGTTTCCCTTCTCTGCTCCACAGCCGGGATGCAGTCCCCTGGGGTGGCCTTGGTCTTTCCCTGGAAGGGGCAGTCCAGGCACAGTGACCATGGCTGGTGGAGGCCCAGCACTCATCTCAGGAGGGAAGCTTTGCAGATGACAGGGCCAGCAGCGCCCTCTGCTGCCCCCGCACCGTACTGCCTCGTGCCTAGCAAACAGGACACCTCAGGGGCCCCGTTCCCAGCCTGGCGGGCACTGGGCCAGCCCACTCTCTCCTGCTATCTCAGCCCACTCTCCAACAGCGCTGGGAGGCGCCCCTAATTCACATAAATCCATCCTTCATGTATTTACATTACCCCCACCCCAATACCAAAAGTTCTCCACAAATAAGAGCAAGACGGACTGTTACCTACGCTGAATGGAATGGAACTGACTCCCTCCAGCTGGGCCTCCTGCCAGGGCATCCTTATGCCCTGGACCCCAAGGCCCCATGCATCCGTCTGCCTCTGCCCAGGGCCAGACAGCGGTGCCAGTCCTGTGTCTCCAGGCGAGCTCTCCGGCTGCAGGCAGGCCTTGCCCTTCTTCCTGGCCCTGGCCTGGGCCGGGCTTCTCATCAGATGAGGTCATAGCTCGCATCACTCAGGGACCTTGCAGATCCTCGAGGGCCGGACCTCAGCCTGCATTAAGACTCATCAGCCCCAAGAGTGGGTGACTCAGAGGGTGGCCCCTGCTCAGGCTAGGGTGGGGGGCTGTGACGTGGGGCACACTTTCTGCAGCCCCCTCCCCTGGCACTCCCAACACCGGGGCCAGTTCTGCCCCTCCTCAGGGTGTTTCTGTAAGCTCTGGGAACAACCCCATGGGGGGGATGGTATTAGACCCATTGCATGGACATGGAAAACTGAGCCAGGAGAGCTTACATGAGTTGCCACAGCCCCTAAGTCATTAGGTGATGGACCCAGGATTAGAAAACAGTTGGGTCTGACCCCAAAGTGTATGTTCTTTCCCCAGCACCTCACTGCTGTTCCAGCCCATTTTATGGAAGGAAAAACTGAGGCCCAAGAAAGGGAAGCAGGTTGCTGAGACAGCCTGGCTAATTGCCACGTTGACAGAGCCTCTACTGTGCATTATGCACCTGTCCTGAACAACCACTGCTGGAGGAGGTATTATTACTGATCATTTAACAGATGAAGAAAGCAAGACACAGAGAGGTTCAATCACATGTCCAAGGCCACACAGCGAGTGAGCTGCAGAATCAGACAGGAACCCAGGCAGGAGGACTCATGCAAAAGCTGGTTTGGAACCAGCTGAGGTTCCCATGAGGAGAGCTGAGAGCAGACAGAGGGCCTGGGATCAGCCCTGGCTGATGAAATGAGGGACCAGGCTGCCGGCCGAGCAGGGGTCCATCTTTTTCCCTTCTTATAAGACAATGCTCCTCAGCTTTCACTGTCTTCAGCCCAAACCCCTCTTGGGAATCACCCTGACCCCACCCAGCCCCCACGGGAGGAGTCAAACTGAACCTCCTCCTGGACCAGAGCGAGCTCTCCCCTGCTGGGAGGGGACTTCCTGTCCGGCAAGGTGGCTGCCCAGGACGGCCAGTCCCTCCTACCTGGAGGATGGTGCAGCTGTCCTGGATGCCACTGGGCCTCTGTGCACTCTCTGAGGAGCCGCCAGCCCGGCAGCATCGGAGGCCCTTCATCCTCCCGGCGGGAGCTGGGGGCGGTTTGGTGGCCTGAACAGTTGCTCTGGCCACCCCGGCTGTCAGGAATAGGGAAGCTTGTCAGGGTCGTGGGCTGGGGTCTGGAGCCTTCCCCTCACCCCCAGGCCACACTGCTCTTCAGGGCGGGGCAGGGCCCCCTGAGCTGTGTTCACAGGGTCTCAGGGGCCTGGGGGACTGAAGATGGGCCAGGAAGGTGGTGCTTCAACACTGACGGGCGAGGAGGCTGCCTGGCGACCCTCTGGGGCTCCCCTCAAAGTTTAATGCTGCTCGTGGGGAACACGCCGCCCCCTCCACGGTGCGAATGCCAAGCCTTCACGCCATGTCCAGTGCAACTTAATCCTGTGACCATTCCCATGTCACAGGGAAGAATGCCGAGGTTCAGAGAGGTGAAGCAACTGTCCCAAGGTCCCACAGGCAGAGGCAGCAGACCTGGACCCAGCCTCCAGACCCCTGGGTTTGCAGGGTAAGAAAAGCGAGGTGCCCAGTGGGAGGCTGGGGTCACGTGGTCACAACGATGAGGTGCTCGGGGCTGGAGGGGACTACAGAGGGCATCTCACTCCATGCCCCGTGAGAGGCTGCAGGTCCCATGAACATCTTCCCAATGGGCTTGCACACCTACAATGATGGGGAACCCCCTCCCACGTTTCTCCTGCCATACTGGGACACCTCTGTCTCTCAGCCTGGGCCCGGGCAGGTCCTCCTGGTGCCTCCGCCATGGCCATATCAAGTTCTGCAGGGAGATCCTGGGGCCTTCCTAGAACCGCTTTCCACTTTCCCAGCCCATAGGAGCCTGGTTCAGGAAATTGTTGGCCGTGAAGCTCAGGTGGGACTGAACCCAGCTCCGTTCAAGGTGGACTCTGGCCGATCTGTCAGCATACCCTGCCCTTCTTGCACAGAGATTGGCTCAGGGATGGGTCCTTTCACGAATGAGAACCAGTTCCACCTAAGGAGACATTTGTTGGCGCTGTCTGGAGAGACGTTTCCTTCT